TTACTAGCTGCGCACGGGGAAAGGGGCAGTCTTGTGAAGTCCTGATTAGAGAGTGGGTTTATAACCGTGCAGGTTACAGCCTTGATCCACGACACTGAAGTACGAGTGTGTGTTTGTGTTTAAGGGAACTGAGTATGTTGAAATCGTGAGTGTCGTCGTTGCGTTCTTATCTTATGTGCATTACCGCTACAATGATAATATTACATTGATAAGGCTAGTTGTGGCTTCTCATGTCACACCCAGGCTTGACTGTAGTATAGTCAATCCAAAGTTTCTTGTAAAAAGCAGACCTAGGTTGTAGAATAATACATGTATTATTTCTGGGCTGTTACGGCTGAGCATACTACCTACAAATAAATAGACCATGTCCAACACCGAGAGTGTAACGACCGACATAACAATGCATTATGACATTATCGTTTTATAAAAAAAACAAAAGGCTGTTTCCAGTTTGTTTCAACAAAAAATCTACAAAAAAATAAAATAAAAAATGAATAAGACCGTTTCCAGCACTGGGATAATAACTCCCAACATAACAAAAATTACATTTGGATGACGAAAAAATAAGGCTGTTTTCAGCTACTCAGATCACCACCAGGCTTGGCTAGAGTGCAGTTAGTACAATGGTGCTTGTAAAAATAGGAAAAACACGTTGTAAAACACGTATAAAAAATGAAAAGATTGTTTCTAACATCGTGATTGTAACGACCGACCTACAGAAATTTGGATGAAGAAGAAATATGGGTGTTTGCAGCGTCTCAGATTACAACTAGGCTTCACTTAATTCTGGGTAGAACAAAGTTTCTTGTAAAATTGAAGACCCAGGTTATACAACAAAATTATTTGCAGATTGTTACAACCAGACAAACGTGTACTTAAAAATAAAGCTTGCCATATAAATTATGATTATTGCTTTTGTTGATGAAAGTGCAAAATGTCTTAAAAAAAAAATAAAAGAAGAAGAAAAACGGGAAATTCCACAGTGCAATACGGATATTATTAGAAACATGCAATGGGCACATATCCAACTTGGGTAAAGGCAAAGATAATATGGCTTCGCGCACACCGACCACATAACAACCAGCTCTTGGCTGTTCCTGTAAGACATAACACTAAACCTACTGTGACCTCGGATCTGCGCTCTAAATAAAGCACGTTTGAAATGGATGTTATTGTTGTTGTTGTTAGCGATCCAGTCGCATCTGAGCGTTAACTCTTCTGCATGATGCCATTCAGTAATAGTAATAGCTGCGTGTTTGTTCTAATTGTTGTCTTGAGGAGTAGAGGCATTTAGATGTGTGGGGTAGCTTGAGAAGAAAACATCCCCTTAAATCAGTTAATTTTCTACAGAAGAACAGATGACGTTCCACTGTCTCTGAGGGGTAGTCACTTAGTGGGCAGGCAGCAGACTGCTTTACTCCAATTCGGTTGAGATGTTGGTTGAGGGGTACATATTGTGTTCTAAGTTGGAAGATTATGGATTGATCTCCCCTCTTCAACTCATTGATTGGACCTTTGACCAGTGGTTTATTCATGTGGCATAAATCATCCTTCCTGTCTTACCTGTGACCCAATCATTCACCCAGTCTTCCTTGAGGTTTGACTTGATCAATTGGCTGCAGGTGGTGTAATCAGTAGGAATTTCAGGCTGAGGGAGGTCAGCTCCTTTCTTTGCTAGAGCATCAGCTCTTTCATTTCCCGGTATCCCAGTATGGGTAGGAATCCATTGTAGAACTACTCTGACTTGGTGCCTACTTATCAAATTATCTAGACTCCAAATCAAGTGCAATATATCTTTGTTCACATCAGTCCCACTCTCAAGTGCCTCTAGTGTTGACAGGCTGTCTGTAAAGATAACAATGGCTGTGGTAGCAAGTGGGTTAGTGTCAAACAAGTAGTTTATGAATGTAGTTTGCTGTGTTGATGATAGCCTGTTGTTCGGCAATGAAATTGGAACAGAAGGACTCGCTGGAATTAAAGACTTCTTTTTTGATCCCACTGGGCAAGTTGACCACTGACCCATATCCAGCGTTGATGGTTGCCTTAAAGGCAGATCCATCAGTGTATGGGTGGATCCATGTTGGTGGATAGGAATCAATTGTTTCAAGGGCGGAATATTTTAGTGTCACAGGATATTTGTTTTAATTGCTCTTGTCCCAAAGTGTTTTCCTAATTTCTGTCTTTGCTATGGTGAGATGTGGTGGGAGAGTTGAGGGAACTCTTTCCAGAGGTTCTCGTCTTTCAGGGAGGTGATGCTTTTCTTGGAGATTGACTTGAGGACAGTGTCAAGTACAGGTTTTGTATTTTTTAGTCTTTAATTAGGTTTCCACTTGTCAACAAGAATTCTATTTGGGTGGTTATTTTCTAGCCTTTTAGATCTTTCATATACTTCTAAAGCCGCCTGTTTTCTTAGAGTTTCTAATGGCTCAATATGTGTGTGGATTTCACAGGCCGCTGTCGGTGAGGATCTCATTCCGCCAGAGATAAGACGAAGAGCTTGGTTTCGGATGGTGTCCATTGAGTTCTTTGTAGTTTTACTGCATATGTTTTGTAGAACAAGATTATAATAAAAAGCAGCTCTAGTATATCCTAAATAGAGGCCTCCCAAGGTGTTTGAAATGGATAAATCTTTAATTTGTTTACCCAGCCGGTTCTGATACTCGAAGTTGGCTACACATGAATTTAATCTTTCAAGGGAAGCAACAATGTTTCAGAGGATGTAGCGAATGGCCGTAGGGCTACCTCCCTGGTTGAATCTTCACTTTCATGTCAATATATTTGATCCATCATAATATATCAATATTCTTGTCATTATTTTTCACACACACACACACACACACACACACACAAACACACACACACACACACACACACACACACACACA